CATAGACCAACTGCGTTGGAGGCTGGACAGCCACGTTTCCGCTCCTGGCTCTGCTCCAGGGGGAAGAGAAGGACCATAATATGGGTTCTGGGTCATAGGTCCCTAGGCCTAACAGGACTGCACAAGCTGATGAGGTTGTTTGGGGGTCATCCCAAGTTTCTGCAAGTGCTCCAAACAGGAATTCCCAGGATAGGGAGTCATCCCGCACATCCATTATTGCTCCAGACAGGGAGTCACAAAAGGGGGTATCCACATTATTCAAACATGTCAGATAGTGCTCCAGACAGGGAAACAGACCGGGGGGTATCCACATAAATCAAACACAGCCCTAGAAAGGGAATTCCATCAGGGGCACTCTCATAATTCAGCTATTGCTCCAAAAAGGAAGTCAGTAGCAAGGGGGTTTGCCATGGAGGTGGCTCCTGACTCTGGCCCCTCAGGCACATGCACCGGGGCTACGGAGTACGGGGGCACTTCTGCCACTCAGGCCTCTCCATCTGCTGGCCTTGGGCTTGAGGGACAGTGTTCCCAAGAGGAGTCCATTGTGGACTCAGGGACTTCCACCTCTCCAAGGTATACTGGCTTGGACTCAGAGGGTCCAGCCAGTCAGCAGCTGGGTGGGTCACCTGGGTATTTGGGGCATCAAAGTCCTGGCCTGCCTAGCCTGGTAGGCGAACAGGTAGGCCAGACACTCGCACTGGCCCTTAGAAGGTCACAGTGGGCGAAGTGCCCGCCGAAACACCTAGGAGATTATGTGAGGTTCCTGTCAACACATGAGGAACCTTGCTATGAGATTGCTGAATGTGGGGGGTAACACTCAGAGAGAGTCTGATATACTATTTTGATTTTGGATATATTTTATCTGAGTTAAATAGTTATTTTGAAAGGTGTCTGCCTGTGTGGAGACCTGAGCATTTCCACCTTCCTTGCATTTGAATAATGTATCTGTGTTCCACTCTCCCTGCATTGCACAATGCACCTGTGCGTAAGCTAGGTGTGTTTCATCTAGGGGGGAGGGGTGTTGTGTCCTGAGCCTGCAAGAGATGAAAGCAGGCTCAGATTTGTTGCAAATGGTCCCAGGCAAGCCAAAAGCTACCCAGGACCAGACAGAGTGGCGCTAGCCTTGCGCGCATGCGCAAGGCATGAAAATGATCAATTCCTATTGGTTCACACTGTCCGGGTTTCAGGCACTATAAAAGGCCTGTGTGCCTTTTGCTATTTGCTTGGTTGTAGGAGAAAGTAATAAAGAGCTTGTTGTTTTCACCATGTGTCTTCGTCAATTGCCAACGAACGGAAAACACAACAGTTATAATCTTAAAGAATTTTTTAATAAGATGATATATTGGTATATGTCACCAGAAAAAATGTCTAGATGTATAAAGGCACTTCAAATTTATGTTGGAAATGTGAACAAAAAGAATGGACATTTTATCATGTTTAGTGGACATTTAAAAAGCTAAAAAATTCTGGATCCAAGTACACACACTGATTAAGAGGATCTTTAATGTTAATATACAATTGAAACCAGTTGTTTTTCTTTTGGAACTGATGGACAAACAGCTGAAAAGAATCATGGAAAAACTATAAAGCTGTAGTGAGATTATTGTGTGCACAAAGATGGAAAGATTTCACACTACCCACAATAACAAAATGGTTGGTGAAAATGACGAAACTTTCTGAGATGGCCAAATTAACCTTTTTGATCAAAGAAAGACAATATTGCTGACTAGAAAATTCTTATAGATTTTGTGTGTGAAACAGAAAAAAAAGTAACTTATGATTTACGATGATTAGACAAAATAGATTATACAAAGAAGAGAGCTAGTTTGGCCTAGTGGTTAAGACACCATGCTAGAATGTGGGAGACTGTGAATTCTGGTCCTTTCCTTAGCTAGGAAAGCTAGGTGGGTGACTTTGGGCCAGTCATTCTCTCTCAGTCCAACTCACCTTATACGGTTGATATTGTGGGGAAAATAGGAGGAAGGTATGTTGAATAGGTTTGCCGTGAGCTATTTCTAAAAATAATAAAAGCAGGAAATCAATAAACAAACAAATAAATATGCATTGTAATCATAGCGCAAGAGGTAAAGTTATAATTGTACCTATAACTGATGAAAAGAAATTGGAAAATACTTCTTTGTTTCTTTTTTCTTTCCTTTTCCTTTTTTTCCCTTTTCTGTACTTCTCTTTGATTTCTTTCTTTTTCTTTTCTTTTTCCTGCTTTGTATTACTTTGTGTTAGTTTTTATAGTCTTTTAATGAAATCTTTAATTTTATATATATACCTTCATAAAAGAGGGTGGAAACAACAATCCTTAATTGGGCTTTGTTGCTTTCCCACAAAGTCAGCAGTTTGTATAAGAGGATGGTGCTCTCACGTTGCCAATGTAGAAAAGACATGAATGCAATTAGCTGAGGTTTTTTTTTTTTAAGCTCTGAGCAAAAGGACTTGCCATTTTCTTCTGTAATAGTAGTTTATATCCATTTTCCTACTATGCTTATCAGCATCGCAACAAAATAATTCAGACAAGTTGGGACAGAAGCTGGGGCTGTATTTACTGTAAGTCATTTGCACATGCAAATAGTTAATTTCCACTGAAAGCTGCGGTGACAGTTTACGCATGAATGTAGGTGGAAGAATGCATGTGGGCTCTATGCTTTCTGACACTATAATAGCTCTGCTCCAATGCAGGCATAACTTGAGTTCCTAGCAAATTTCTCTGGCTAATATTTTCTTTTAGAGGGGGTTGGGTGATCACCTTAAACAGATGTTCATTTTGGCAAATATGATAAATAGAAGTTATCTACTTCTCTCTATAGATGTTCTATTATATGTTTATAACATAAATTATCAGCATAGTGAACTGATTATCGTTTTGGCAAATATGGCAAATCAAAACCAATTACCAGCTTTAGGTTAGTACGTAAACTGTCAAGGTTCAGGAACTATTCCTTCCTATCACATGACAAAATATGTATCAGTGGTGAGAGAAACGAGGTCTCTATAGATTTGTTGGTTTGAAAAATTTCCAATAACACCGGCTTCTGTTCCCCTGGATTTGGCTTGTTCATTACCTCAGAAACAGCTCTTTGCCAAGTCATTATATCTGTTGATATTACATGTTTCCTTCATATGAAAGAATTTAAAGAAACAGGTAGTCCTTGTTTAGCAATCAGAACTAGGACTGGCCACTTGGTCATTAAGCTTCACTAATAGAAACTCATGTTTTACTTCAACTTTCTTTTGCTTTAAAGACTTGCAAAGATCATAAATGTGAGAATTGGTTGTCATGTTATTTCTGATCACTATTATAACTGTAAATGGTCACTAACTGAAGGCTACTTATATATATATACTGTTATAATAAATAACAAAAGATAATACAAATATTTAGAACTTTTACTGAATTTCATTTTAATCTTGTCTGAGGGAATATTTTTTCTCCGTTTTTCATAATGTGAGCGCCTAGGTGAAGCTGATTGCATTCAAAGCTGAGAAAATAAAGTATTGTTTCACACAGTGATTGATAAACAGTACTTTGTTAAGCGTACCTATTTAGAAAGGGTTGCAGTCTAACCTCATGAGTGAGCCCACAGCTCGATTATATAGTACATATTATTCAAGAGGAAGTTTTTAATTATTTATAAAGAATATATAAATAGGTGGCTTATGGCTATTAGCAATAATAGGACTTAAGATGGCATATGTAAAGAATATGCAATGAAAATGTTGAATCTATTCAGCAGATTGTTAGAAAACTTTGAATTATTTAGTAGATTGTGGAAATGTTGTTGAGGCAAGGTATCTCAATTTCAACAAAATATATGTCAAAATAACCCATGATATTCTGTTTAGCAATTTAGTTAAGTGTAGTCTAGATCTCATGACAATTACACAGATAAATAGCTGGCTCAAATGTTTTACTCAAAGAATATTCATCAACTATTCTCATAAAACTTAACCATAGTGTTTGATGCTGAGTCCTGTACTTTTTAATTATTTAGATGAAGAGATAGGGGGACTGCTTGTCAGATATACCAATGACACAACATTGAATCATGATAGGTTAAAAATGTGCTGAAAACAACAAAATTAAATTAAACCAAGGCAAATGAAAAAGCTTTCATTTAGGAAATAAGAATCAAATGGTAGCCTACCCAGCTACCTAGTTTGAGAATAATATTTGTGGAATAGTAATAGTTTACACATTATATGTGAGTCAACACTAGATATGGCTGCAAAGAAAGGAAATGTAAGTTTATATCAACAGAAGTATAGTTTTCTAAATCATAGGAAATCATAGTTCTAATTTATTCTTTACTCATAGATCCTTCCTAAAGTATTATTTTGACTCCTAGGCACCAACTTTAATAAGGATTCATATGAACAGGGATAAGTTACAAAAAGGCAGAACCTTGGATATTTTTACCTCTGAGAAGAGAGCACTAAGATTGATAACACTCTTCAAATACCTGAAAAGATGACCCACAAAAGAAAATTAAGAATATAGGATATGAAATAATAGATTTAAGCTGTAGAATCTGATTGAATGAAAGAACCATTCAATTACCTAGAGTGACGGTGGTCTCCCATTCATTGCATACTCAATATATTCAGATGGATTTAGATTTAATTTGAATTCCTGCACTAAGCAGGAAATTGAACTTGAAGTGTCTATGATTCTATGAAATTTGGATAGGCTGTCATTGTGAAGAGAGAGTTTCACCTTTTCCATGACTTGCAGATATTTTCAATGTTGGTTGCTTTGTGAAAGTTGCAATTTTTTTGAGGTAGGGGCAATTGACTTACCCCTAATTGCTTTGAAAAAATTGTTACTGAAATTACTGAAGACCATTTTGTTTTATGTTGCTCTCAATTGAGGCCTTGAGGATCGTATGGCTGATGAATGGGATATATTTTTAAGTACATTCATTGTATCATCATCTCTAGAACTGATTCAGATCTATAGAGGCAAGAACTGATTTCCTTTTCTGTTGCAGAGGAGTCTTCAGAAGGGAAGAAAATTTCACAAGATCACCCTCCAAAATCACACAACAAGAAACACAGTAAGACAGCTATTCTTGGATTTCTACCCTGTGAGGGGGACATTAAACACTTATGGAATGTATACTGAATGAAAACAACAGAAGCGTGTCTAATCTGTAATTAGGCAGGATGCCTTCCTCAAATATTTTCCCCTTTGGAATTAATATCAAATAGAGGGGGGAAATGACTACATATGTTTCTGTCAGTGATTCTTCAGGTTTCTCTTTGGGAAATGTGGCCCCAATGCACTAATAGTAAGATGTGGCTTTCCCAGGAAATTTAATGGTGAGGTAGAATCATTGTGCACTGCTTGAATGAATGTAGTGAAGTGGATATAGAAGGACAGCAAGTGATGATTATGAAAACAATGATTATGTTTTTTTCATGAAGGACACTTGTAAAATTCTGATAACATGGTTAGCCTTGGTACTATAGGAGCTAAGCATGTCATTTGCCATTATTAAAAGAAATATTAGGAATTCTTAAAATTCATACCCCTCACCCTTTGTTTTTCAACACAAATAATGTTTCCTCTGAACATTATTTCATTATAGCTCCTCGAGGAACTCACTTGTGGGAGTTTATCAGAGACATTCTCCTTCATCCAGAGAAGAATCCTGGGTTGATAAAATGGGAGGATAGGTCAGAAGGCATCTTCCGATTCTTAAAATCTGAGGCAGTGGCTCAGCTATGGGGAAAGAAGAAGAACAACAGTAGCATGACTTACGAGAAACTCAGCCGTGCCATGAGGTAACAAAGGGGAATATTTTGCTTAAAAAAAACCCAGCTGTTTTTAGTCTCTGGTTGCATGACAAAGCAAAGAGCCAGAGTATGCTGAAATCGCAGGGGAGTTTTTAAAATGTAAAGTAGTGTGAAGCACAAGATATTTTCCTATGGCATAATTTCCTCCTGATTTTTTTTCCTGATCAAAATGAAAGATACTGGTTGGATTGATGTGGCAAGATGGGAAATCTATGATCCTAGCTCTGAGGGCTCCTACCCCTTCACCTGGAAAACCATATTATATAGCTAGAAAGACTGCCAAATTGTCTTTACATGAACAGAGATTTTGTCAGTTATGAAAAAGTGTCAACTCCTTCACTAAACAATGACTCACCATTTGTCTTTAAGTCTCACAAAAGTGGCATGTACAGACTTTGCATGTCTTCCTGAATCATAAGAAACATTTACAGTTCCAATTACTTCTCAATATAATAATCTGTGTATCGTACTTCAGATATTAATCATATGATTTCCCCTTAATATAGGAACAGCATCAGCTTGTTGGTCAGTTTCAGTTCCTGCCCAAAGTTCCTTAGATAAAGACAAACATGCATATCACGTTCAAGGGATTTTGCATTCAATGGGTGTAATTTGTAACTGTAGGTTTTAGATATAGATGTTTTGTAGTTTTCTTTCAATAAATGGGTTTTTTTTAAAAAAACATTTTGTTTATTTAGAAAATTTATATAGCTGCCTACTAGCTCACAGCAAGTCCAGGCAGCTTACAAACAATAAAAAACACAGTATAGAAAAGAACCCAATAAAAATAAAAAACAATAAGGCTACAACACACAGTCAAATAAGCCATTTGATGGCCTCCATCCCACTCTGGGTTCCCCAGGCCCACTGAAAAAACCAAGTCTTCATGGCCTTACAATAGAATGGGGGACACTCTAATTTCTGAAGGGATGATCTCTCAAAGGCAGGGAGCCACCATGGAGAAGGCCCTTCTCCTCCTTAGGGATGGGACCAGCAACATTCCTTGTCTCCCCACTCTATTGGGTCAGGTGGTTGTGATCAGCAAAAGACCATTCCTTAGATAACTTGGTCTCAAGCAATGAAAAGCTTTAAAGGTGACAACCAGCACCTTGAATTGTACCAGGAAGCAAATCAGCAACCAATGCAGCTCTCGTAAGAGAGACATTGAGGTCTGCACAAAACCATGCTGGCCCCTGCATTTTGAATCAACTGGGGCTTCTGGATGTTTTTCATGTAGAGCATGTTGCAATAGTCAAGACAGGAAGTGACTAAGGCATGAGTGACCATGAATAGAAATTGTTGGTCCAGAAAAGGGCATAACTGGTGCACAACTTGCAGTTGTGCAAAGGCTCTCCTGGCCACAACTGTCACCTGCTTTTCGAGCAAAATTCTTGAGTCCAGGAGAACCCCAGATTCCATATTGGATCTGTTTGGCGCAGTGCCATCCTATCCAAGACTAAAGGTGGCAATCCTATTAGAACATATCCATAACCTTGTATCGATTCTACATTGTATGCAATGGGCCTATGTAAAGGCTATGATGTGGTAGAAACTCAACACCTGATGAGATAATGGATTATTTTCTGATTTCATGAGAAAATAGTTTAAATTGTAAGTCCAATTACAAATAAAATTAAAAAGGAAATGGTCAGCAAATGAGTTTTTGTGTATCTGATTTCATCATTTCCTTTTAACAGATACTATTATAAAAGAGAAATTCTTGAGCGTGTAGATGGACGGAGACTGGTATATAAATTTGGGAAGAATGCCCGTGGCTGGAGAGAAAATGAAAACTAAACACAACTTTAAAAACAGCTGTAGAAATATTCACTCGCAGGAAATCCTATTGGATGTAAATATTCTAAAGACTGTTTTCTTCTATTTATGTACAAAAATTGGGGTCTGCAGAAATTACGTCTAATGGGAAGAAGGAACACTATTGTTTGTTGATGTTATAACTATTTTATTTGAAATATGTCCTTTTATGGAGAGTATGTACACAGTTTTCTGTGACCTATGATAACACTTTATGTAAATGTATAAGGATGAGTTGCCTTTCTTGTAAAGATTTTACAGAAAATGAATTCCAAAAGAAATGTGATTTAGCATAATGCTGTGAGAGGCATTTGCTATAGTGGGAGAAAATCACAGGGCATTACTTTATACTTAGGTATATTACTGCATTTTAGATAACTAAGGATTTAGAGTATCTGTCTCAGAATTTTATGAGATAGGTTTTTCCATTCAAAATATACATCTTTTTTCAAAGGCTGTTGAGTAGTGAGACATCAATGGTTAATTAAACCAAAGGCTGTTGAGTTATGACTTCATTTTTTTCTTTGGGTTTTTTTTTTTTTTGCCCTTCTTCTATCTAGACAATATTAATGTGGCTATTTAAAAGGCCTGGACCTTTTTGTAGTCCTCCATTTAAAGTTGGATTTATCAACTCATTCCATGCCCAAATAATTCTCTTTTGAAATAAATCCTAGAACATGAAGAATTATGAATAAAAACAGTGGATGCTTTATTTGTAGACCTCAATAACTTTAGTTGAGCTTCGTAACCAACCTTGAATGCTTGTGACTCAAATCACAAAATTTTATGTGTCAGCAGCATAAAACTGCCTTTCCTAACCTGGAATCATCCAAGTTTTGGAACTACAAACAATTGTGCAAACTGGACATTCTGACAACTTAATTCTAGTTCATCTGCCATGTTGAAGAATGCTATCTCTAGTGTATCAAGGATAATCAAAGTGACAAAACCTTCCTTAAAAAAAAATCAACTGTATGTCTATAAAGACTGGCAGCAAATATCCACATTTCTGACAGGAGTAATTTTTGGTTCTATCTGATCAAACTGAACTTGAGATTTTATGTATCCAAAGCATTTGCTTAGTCACCGACCTAATATATGTTTGGATATGAACATAGAAGTCTGTGTGATAATGAAGTTGTACTTTGATATTAAGGTTTTTTTCATTACATAAACCAAGTCCCTCCATTCAGAATGCTAATAATTTAAGGTTCTGTTTCAGTCTTTCTTCCCTTTCTCCCAGATGCCTAGTTTTTATTTCCTGGGATGGGATGGCACGGAAGAATATTTCGTCATGTAAGTTCCTTCATGTAAGTTAAAATGATTCAGTATAAGCACTACCAGCCCAAGAAATACAATTAAAAATGACTTCTTTAAGCTCATTAAATTTCAGTTGTGAGACTGGATCCAAACCGTCTGAAATTAAAGTTTCTGTGTTCAATACCAGTTGAGTATTTTTCATAAATATATCAAAATCACTTGTAGAATAGAGCTTGTGCTTTTTGCTAATAAACATTGGTAGCTGCCGTTTGATGAAAAATACTCCTAAACAAGGCAGATAAAAAACACCTTTGCAGCCGTAATTCGTGCCAAAACTTTTAGCTAGCACACATCCATTATAGCTATGTTATATTTGAACTTTGCTTAAGATGAGTGGAGGCAGTTAATCTTATTTATAGGAGAAGCTGGTAACCAGGACAGCAGGTTTCAAAGTAAGCCTTTTCTGTTGACTGAATATTTACTGACTCACTGAATGAGATTTTTCTTCAGTTTCTCTCTGTTCTTTATTTTTAAATCATCTAGACTCCATAATCTAATGATCTTTTTGTGCAGAAATATCACATCTGATGTGTTGGATTCGATACAGCCTTTTGCTATTGAGTCAAAACAGTGTTATTGCAGAGTATCTATAATGATATAGCTAATTTTTTCAATCTATATTCTCTTAAATAAGTTCTATTGTCTTATGTCTAAGAATCTAGATGCAAAATTATAGCAGGGGATTTTAAAAAATTCATGGTGTTGTTCTTCAACAATATGAGAATTAAAACTGTATCTAAGCTGCACACAAAGTGAAGAATACAGACAGCAGTATTAGTATAGATTTCTCCAAGTTGGTGGCCTTCAGTGCAATCACAGAGAAATAAAGAAAAGTTGACCACCTGCTCAAAACCCTACCCCCTTTTTATTTGCATTGTGATATACATAAAAATTAGAAATCAGAGCTACATTCTTGATTTTTTGATTCTTCTTTTACTAACATCCCTGGTATCCTTCATGCATGTTGCATTCTTCTGTGTTATTGAAAGAGCTCTGGAACTTGCAATTCAATCAAGTTGGGTTAGATATGTTAGTACTCTAATCATGGAATCTAATAGAAACTTCAATCCATATTAACTTTTGATTGCCATTTTAACTTTTATTTATTTGGCCAACTTGATCTTGCTTTTGAGATTTTGGAAACAATCCATATTGATAGATGCTGCTATTTTACTATTTTACTATCTCTTAGACCATGGAGTATCTGCTTATAAGCGTTTATCATCCAAAAGGCATTTTCTTCTTAGAATGCATGAGCATTACAATAACAATACATTTCTAAATCCTCATTTTGGAGTAGTATAACGTACTAAGTTATCTTTGTGATATAATACATAGCTCATATTTATATTACATTGGTAAACTGCTGGCCTTTCTTTCTTCACGGACAACCTTGGGAATTAGAATATGTGAATAGATTTTAAAGTCTATAATTAGAACTTTTCAGAATTGAAAATATTTTGGAAAAAATACTTTTCTAAAAAGGTTTTCCACTATCAAGCCTGCTCTCTTTAATTTTGGTTCTGTGAGTCATAATATAAATTAAAAGGGATTTTTTCAGCATAGTCAGGATATTAATAAAATAAATTTGAAGCATAAATGTGTGACTAAAAACCAAATAAGTTTAAAGTATTAATTACATTTAGGGTACTATTTTTCAACATTCACAAGTGTATTTATTAACCTCTTGACATTAACTGAGATAGATTTCCCCACTGTTGGCACTTTAAAAATGCAGTTTGTCATTTGGTTCTGAAACTTAATTCACTTTAAAAAGAGACATGGTATAACATTGACCTAGCTCAGGGGTAGGCAACCTTGGCTCTTTTATGACTCGTGGATTTCAACTCTCAGAATTCCTGAGTCAGCTACCCCTGAGCTAGCTAGAAAAAAGAGCATAAACATATAAAAATGATACCATATTGACAAGCACGTGCAACCTCATCCAACGATGAACTTTTTACAAATTCTAATTAAAGGATACAATGAAGATATGAGTGTAGCAAATTGTTATTTAAACATAAAGGCATTGATGAGATTGCTCTTTTAATGTTTGCAAAGAACAGTCTTTTTAGAAGTATATTTCCCATGAATATGATTTGTACATATTTTTAGGGTGGCATAATTTTTTTAAATGTATAAATCTGTATACATTTTAACTCAGATGTATAAAGATTTATAAATGTATTGCGGTATTTATATAGATGAACCCCAATCACCAAGAATTTGCTGATGTAGTGTGCTGCTTTGCTTAAGAAGTAGTTTGTGCATCGTACTACCTAGTTCTGTGGATTCCTATTCATAACTAATAGTTTGAATGTTTAGCTACTACAAGGTAGGTATCCCTGAAAATGCAGCCACTATGTACTTGAGAAAGTATATGCAGAAACACTTATATGCTTATCATTACAGCTTTCTTGTTACTGTAAAATGACTAGAATCTCTTGCTAGCTTCCCCATTTATAAGTTTTCTAGAAGTGAATTTTTGTACGTCAGATTTAATGACTATGACAAAAAACAGCATACTGTTGCTAAGACTGTTTCTATCCACAAATTGCTAATTAAAACAATGTGTTTGTTTCTTTAAATGTTTAGTAATCATTCAAACTTCTCTCCATAGAAATTGGCTTCAGAATGAAATTGTACAGTATGCAATAATCAACATGATTAGATTTAATGAAAAGTGGGAAATTTAATGGCATCATAGTGCAAAGGACAGCTTTTCACTAGATCATTTTTTAAAGTTGTCTGTATCTGTCAATAGTGTGTGTGTGTGTGTGTGTGTGTGTGTGTGTGTGTGTGCTTGTGATATAATATTTACTGTTAATTTATGGACTTGCAACTTAAATGAAGCTTGTAATTTATAATAATATATGGATCTAAGGCATAAAATAAACCAAGCACTGGGGCAGCTCTGATCAGATGTAAAAGGAGGCAATAATGGTACTTGAATTAAATTGGGCGAGGGATACATCCAGTAATCATTTTTCCTTCCATTATATTCCCATTCCAAATTGTTTCTGCAACAGCAGCCGTTTATTATAATAAATAGTACTAGTACATTTTCTAGGACTGGAAATTAAAAGGACGGGGAAAGAATAATGGAGAAACCCACAAAGAAGAAAAAGGCTGAATGTTAACTAGGTTGTTTTCTTGCCCCATCGTGGGATTCTATTGAACAGAAGAATGGGGAAACTTGAAGTGGATCTGCTTACAGATCTCACATCTTACTGTTTCCTTTATATTGTTTAATTTTATTTATTTTTAAATTTTCTATGCTGTTATTAACATTTATGATGGTTACAGTGTCCTGGGGTCATGTGATCACTTTTGTGACCTTCTGACAAGCAAAGTCAATGAGGAAGCCAGATTCTATTAACATCCATGATGCTAAGTTAACAATTGCAGCCATTCCACTTAACAGCTATAGCAAGAAAAATCATAAAATGGGGCAAAACGTAATAACTGTCTTGCTTGGCAACAGAAGTTTTGGGCTGAATTGTGGTTGTAAGTCAAGGACTACCTGTAATGTGACTTATTACATTAAAAAAAATATTCGTGGCACACACAAATTGTCACAAGACTATGCAGGTATTAAGAGGAATGAAAGTGTTTTTATAAAAGGAAATAAATAAAAAGAATATGCCACCCTCAGAAACGCCACAAGTCTGTCAATGTTTTATTTCTTCCATGAGTATTTCTAACTCAATCCCCGGTATGAGAGTTCGCTTGCCAAAAAAACAATCTGAAAACACTGGAAGAACTTGAAACCTCTGTTCAAAAGGTTCAGTGACTGGGGAGCTCTGATAGCTTTATTTGGTCGATGGAGGTCTCATTTGTTAAAACGCAAAGTTATTATGGTGAGCATGGAGTCAGAGATAAATATGTAGATTAGTCCCCTTAATTTCAGCCTCCATTGGACAAAAGACAAGACCTTCTTTGAAGGATCTGCAGTACTAAGGTTCAACATTAAGCCTTATCATGAGTGGATATCCTCCCCTTGTATAAATCAAAATGTTCATAGATCCCATCTGAGAAAGCTAGAAAGGGGTTATATTAAAAGCTTACATTTAGCCCTTTCATCTCCTGCTCTCTCCCTCTCTCCTCCCCCCCCCCACATCCATTCCAAATCTGCTATTTCTCTTCAGCAGCAATGATGGTGGTGCAACAGCAATTTATCTCTTTTCTACATCTGAACTAAGAGCAGTTTAAGGGGAATGGGGGGGGGAGGGGGACTTTACCAGAACAATGTCAGCACAGTTCTTCATGGAACTGCTAATTAGTCAAACAAACAATGGAGAAATTTGTGATTTCTGTCCTAAGTAGAATGTTCTGTTACACATGGGCAGTCCTTCAAACTGATCCTGAGTACATGATTTGAGAAGGGTTCTACTTTATATCACAGCATTACATATGGTGTGTAATAATTAGCTATGTACACTCTACAAGGAGAAGAGTTTCAGTCAAACCTTTTGCCTGATGGGCTATTGTCATTATACCAGAGATCTTTTTTTCTCCTTGTGATGTGAAACTTAAATGTGAAATCCACAAATTGCATTTCAGGTTAATATCTCTACATAATCTAAGAGAAGTCTGTAATCTTTTAAGTGTCCATAAAAAAAAACTTTAATCTACCAGAAAGAATAGTCATTTTTTAATTTACAATTTTCTGCAAATTCCCAGTACCGGTATATAGTAATTCTTTCATCACTGTGATTTTTTTTCATCACCATACTTCTTTAACAGTACTATTTCCTAGCACCAAGAAAGACAATAAAATCAGATTAAACAACCAAATCTGACCAATTCATCTGTTATAGCTATGAGTAAATAACTTTACAATGAATATTTAAAATACAACCAGATTTCCACCTTGTGAACTATTATGGGGCTTCCATGCTGAATCCCTTTCAGGACAGAAGGCAGCTAGCATAACTATAGATAGCTTAGGAAGGAAGGAAGGGAGGGAGGGAGGAAGGAAGGAAGGAAGGAAGGAAGGAAGGAAGGAAGGAAGGAAGGAAGGAAGGAAGGAAGGAAATGGAAGGGAGGGGGAATCTAGGAGTCTCCAATGTGGATCATCCTTAATAGTCAAAAGAAGGTTGGCTCACTGTTAAGGAATCTGAAATGAAAGGACTGGTGCAAAATTTAGTTATGCATCCTGGCAATCTAACCCAAAAATTATTTCTACATTTTTAGAACTGTATAATTTGTAAAAATGAGATTTGGATAACTTCAAATTTATTTTCCCTAACATCTGCAAAATTTTCAATTGGCTAAATAGTCTCCTATTAAGAAAACAAAAATGATAGGCAAATAGAATGAAGTTTTCTTTTGTTTTATCTGGCTGACAACTACAGTAAGGTGAACGCAGTATTCATTTCCCATCAGCAAGAAATCAAAATGTGGTAGAGCTACTTGGCAAGTCAGATGAAAATGTCTTGCAAACAGTAACCAAATTTGGCCTATATTTCCACATCTTCTAAAGATGGTTATACCTCCCAATTACCTTAATTCCAAGAAATTTGTTTTATGATATAGGTTATGCACATAATGTCAAGAAAGAAAATCCCATATTGATGAAGAAAGTACATCACGCTCTTATATATACGTAAAAGCAAATTCATAGCTGATTATTTCAATGTAATGTGTTGATTTTGTATGGACTATCATTGGCCTTCATGTTTTATATCTCGGTTGCATAATTCTAGCCACCTTAAATAATAAGCAGAATTTTGTAATAAAAACGTTATTTTAAATGTTCCTTATTTGTGATTCTTTTATAAAAAAAACATCAGCTTAAAAACAGACATACATAAATAGTCTTGGTGCAGAAAACAATTGAATATAATGCCAAAATTCTCTTTTTTTAAAAAAATCATATATAATATTGCTGGGTCTTGGGGTTTGTTATACCTTAGAATAAATAAATCTCAGAAGCTTGACTAGTTTTTAGGACTATTCTTTTCTTTCTGAAATAGAATACAAAAAGCATTGGTCATTTCTACATAAGAACTTTTTAGCAACGTGAAGGGACATTTTAAGTCCATGTTTGTTATGCCATACATTATGCCATGTTTGTTATGCTATCCTTGACATAGAGATTGATTTATTATTCTGAGGGACTTCTTAGTATGCTTTTTCTACAAAATCTGCTGTTCAATGGGAGAGCAATGAGGTAAGACCATAGCAGGATATTGATGAGTGTTAAGGAGCAAATTTTCATCCACAAGCAATTGCATAGCAGAATTTGGTGCCACTTGGAAAATGATAATTCAAATAGATTTCTAATGGGCTGTTTTCATCTTGCATTATGGCAGCCTTCCCTGATATAGCACCCTTCAGACTTAAAATGTATATTAACATTTCACCTAAATTAAAAACATAGTAAAATATGAATGTTAAAAAGGTCTATATTCAAATACCAATGTCTCACCATCTAACCATTGAAGCACAGGGTTATCACAAGGAAAATCTATCTTAGATTGGAATTATTATATTTGGTGTATATTAGAATCACAATTACATGTTTATGTGCAACTAATGGCAAATACCTATCCCTTCACGTTGCTAAAAAGTTCTTATGTAGAAATGACCAATGCTTTTTGTATTCTATTTCAGAAAGAAAAGAATAGTCCTAAAAACTAGTCAAGCTTCTGAGATTTATTTATTCTAAGGTATAACAAACCCCAAGACCCAGCAATATTATATATGATTTTTTTAAAAAAAGAGAATTTTGGCATTATATTCAATTGTTTTCTGCACCAAGACTATTTATGTATGTCTGTTTTTAAGCTGATGTTTTTTTATAAAAGAATCACAAATAAGGAACATTTAAAATAACGTTTTTATTACAAAATTCTGCTTATTATTTAAGGTGGCTAGAATTATGCAACCGAGATATAAAACATGAAGGCCAATGATAGTCCATACAAAATCAACACATTACATTGAAATAATCAGCTATGAATTTGCTTTTACGTATATATAAGAGCATGATGTACTTTCTTCATCAATATGGGATTTTCTTTCTTGACATTATGTGCATAACCTATATCATAAAACAAATTTCTTGGAATTAAGGTAATTGGGAGGTATAACCATCTTTAGAAGATGTGGAAATATAGGCCAAATTTGGTTACTGTTTGCAAGACATTTTTAATTTAGGTGAAATGTTAATATACATTTTAAGTCCATGTTTGTTATGCCATACATTATGCCATGTTTGTTATGCTATCCTTGACATAGAGATTGATTTATTATTCTGAGGGACTTCTTAGTATGCTTTTTCTACAAAATCTGCTGTTCAATGGGAGAGCAGTGAGGTAAGGCCATAGCAGGATATTGATGAGTGTTAAGGAGCAAATTTTCATCCACAAGCAATTGCATAGCAGAATTTGGTGCCACTTGGAAAATGATAATTCAAATAGATTTCTAATGGGCTGTTTTCATCTTGCATTATGGCAGCCTTCCCTGATATAGCACCCTTCAGATATATAGGAGCTACAACTTGTACAAATCTCAGCCAGCTTGTATTTGTGGAGTGCATGTTGGAAAAATCTTTACTACAGAATAATGCTAGCCACTGTTT